GATATATGTGCACCCATGTTTATAGCAGCACAGTTTGTAATAGCTAAAGCTTGGAAACAGCCCAAGTGCCCATCAACTGAAAACTGGATAAAGAAGATGTGGGTTTTTTTATAAAGTGGAGTACTAGTCAGCCATAAAGAATGAGAAACTAGAGACATTTATAGCTAAATGGATGCACATTGAGGCCATCCTCTTAAGTGAAATGAATAGGACACACATGTGTAAATACTGAATAGTTTCTCTAGTGTGAGAAACTGAAAGTGTAATTAAGGATACACACGGATGAAATGGCCTAACAACATATTTCTCCGATTGTGTTTCCATCGCGTGTCATATGACTGTATTGAAATTTAAATTAGGGAGACGTTTGGCTTACGTGGAGTCTGCTAGCTCACTGGAGTTTTTTTCCAGATCATTATTTATTCAATGTTGGTTTTAGGGATCTTTCTGAAACAAATCACATCCTCTGGTGTCTTGTTGGTGCTTGAGATGCTTTTTTAAGTTATATGGAAAAATGTTTAAATGCTTTTCAGTTTTGTTTTGGTTGAGTTCTACTGTATTTGAATATTGTAGTTTTTTCCCCTTACATTGTTCTTCTTTGAATGGTTTTAATTTTTTGTATGTGTGTGTGTTTGATAATAAAGTTATTTTTTAAAAGAATTTTTAAAAAGAAGAGAATCTTAATATTGATTCATGAATACTTTCAGTGGAGTCTGTATTCATATGTATACATCCATAAATACATTTCTATATTGTTCATTGTTTATTTTTACATTGTTTCACTCTTTGTCTCTCTTTCCACATTACCCTAGTAACACTGTTATAATCACTACAGTAACTCTTAGGTTTACTAATTTGTTAAGTTTCAGTTTACCTCTTTAAAAGCAGCATGACTAAGAATTACACTACACTATGAGATAAAAGTTGAATTCTAGTCACAGTATTGATTTTACTTTATAAATTTGAAGAAATCCACTAAGCTTTTTGAACCTCAAGTTTCTATATTAGAACATAGAAAGATAAAATCAAATTATCTCTAAAATTTTCTTCAATTATCATCCTCTAAATTAAGATATCGTTGTAAAAATTAGCTAGACATCATTGCAAAACTTTGCCACAGCTCTTTATGCCTGAAACAGAAGGTAGACCATTTAGGCAAATGTACAGAATTCATATCAGCTCACTGTTTCCTGGCAAATAGCTACAATAAATGCTTAAAGGCTTATCTTTGAGAATGTATAATTAACATTGATAAGACTGGACTAATTTTGTTTCTTTTTCTTTTTTCTTTTTTTTTTTTTTTTTTGGTACTGGGGATCAAACTCAGGACCTTGTGCTTGAAAGGGAAGCAGTGGCACCACTGAGTTAAATCCCTGGCAAGACTGGACTAATTTTAATTTAATAGCACCTATATGAAAAAAAGACTTCCGAACCAAACTAACCAGCTAAAGAATATTTTCAGGGAAAATACATACAAGGGATCAGCTGCTTTTAACATCACCATATACATTAGAAATAATTTTTAAGTGACAGTCAATTTTTTTTACACCTAAACCAAGTCAATTTCAATTTCTTATGTCATATGCTATTTCAATTTTCTATTTCTTCTTGTGTCACTTTTAGTTTTTAATTTTCTTTCAAAAAATTGGTCATTTCCTCTTAGTTGAATGTAACTGGCATGAAGTTGTTCACATATTGTGCTATTTTCCTTTCAATGTAGAGGATAGAGAATGGTACCCTCACTCTCATTCTTGATGTTGGTAATTTGTATTTATTTCTATCAGTCATGCTAGGAGCTTATAAACGTTACTAATCATTTCAAAGAACTAATGTTTTGCTTTATTAGCTTACTGTTTCTTTTTTATTTTAATGTTTTCTGTTCTTTTTTATTAATTAAGGTTATTGATGCATTTTATGTAGACATAATGATCACATTCGTCATAGGGAATTTGCACTTGTACATGATATATCTTAGTTCTTATTGTTTCCCATTCCCCTTGGCATGTTAATGTATATTCTTGAAAAGAATGTGTATTCTACAGTTAATGGATGCTGTCTTCTATAAATATAAAGTTGGTCACATTAGTGGATGGTGGGTTCAAATCTCTTACATTTAGCATTTTCATTTGACTTTTTTTGATCATCACTATTTCTGCACTGAAGATCCCTGTCATTATTAACATGTTCAGTTCTTAAGTATTTATAAAAGCTGCACTAAAGCTCTTGACTGCTACTTCTAACATCCAGAATATCTTTTTCTTTTGATGTAACTGGTTGAACCAATTGTAAACTATAAAAATAGTTGCTTCAGGCTGGACTTTATACAGTCTCTTCTACACATGCACAGTTCGGGAGTCAGACAAGGAATTTTATTAAAGTTTTATATAAATTCAGGTCTCCTCTCCCTGGGAATTTCTCCTTTGTGAGATTCCCTAATGAGTTTTCAGTCATTGTGGCAGCCACAAACTCTGTCTTTTCACAACTCACATCAATAACACTAAAGTGTTCTGCCTGAGACCTAGTTATATCACATGGCCTAACTTGTGAAAAGCTAGATAAATTGGGATGTCACACTTTGTAATTCCTTTTTTTCAAGGATCAAATTCTGTCCAGTCTGTCTGTACTCTCCAGTGCCTACAAATATCTTCAAATTTATAATAATTTGTAATTAATAATTGAATGTACATCCAGTGAATAAGAAAACACAGGTTTGAAATCTGCCTTTTTTAGAAACTCCCTATTAATCCTTTATTTTTATCTTACCTTCCAGTCTACTTCACAAACTCAGTAGTTTTTCATAGATTTATCAACAAACTTGCTACAGAAACTACAAAACAATATAAGCACTTGAATACCATCATTGAAAAGTGTCCTTTATCATTAATTATAGCCCATAGCTTCTTATAAACAAATAGCTGAAACATATTCAGTAATGTTTACACTGCATAAATCTAGATACCAGAAACGAAAGTTAGGTCTACTAATTACCAAAATACTTGAAAAGAAACATATTCTTCTTATTATGGCTAGTATCTATATGTCCCCCTAAAGCCTCATGCTCTCATAGGTCAGGCTTTTCAGATGGCTGGATGGAGGCTGCGTAAGTATGGATTAAGAGTGTGTCATAAGTGGGTTGTCCACTAATTGATTTAGCATAGTTCTGGATGCAGGTAATGGGAAGCCCCACTCTGGCTGTGGCTGGCACCAATCATCAGGCTTGCAGCCTGGATGACATAAAAGGGAAAGAAAGGCTGCTTTGCTGTCTCTTGCCTGCTTGTCATGGACTGTTTCTCCTCTGCCATGCCACCCCGCCTTGGAGCCAGCCAACTGTGGACTGAATCTTCTACAAACTGCGAGACAAAATGAACCTTTCCTCCTTTAACTTTTGGGTGTTCAGTATTTTGTCCCAGCACCAAGAAAATAACCAAGATAATTGTTCCCTGTGTCAATCATATTAAATGTCAGCATTTAAAAAGAGGCATCAAAAATTTCAGCTTTCATTAACTGCCCTTCTCAAAACCTGGATATTAAAGTCAACAATTACATCAACATTTTCAAAGACAAGCATGTTAATTTATACTTTTCTGCTATTATATAAAAGATATACCTGGTTTCCAGCTTGGATTCTGGCTTGATTTTCTGTTGCTCTTTTTTCTTGAAGGTTTTCTAGAGTAAGAAAAGAACAGTTGACGTTAAAAAATTATCACCTATAAAATGTTATTTCCATTGATAGAGAAAAACATCTTTCCATTTTATATATATATATATATATATAAATATAAGTATTTATATAAATGTGTAAGTATACTCAGAGGAATACAATTGCTGAAGGTTCTCCAGCATCTTTTGGAACTCAGGAGTATAATTCCTCGTAATCATTTCACTGAGCAAACACCCTTACAAAATTTATTACACATGAGCATTTATTTATTAGCTTACTTATTTGTCCTCTTTTATACAAAACAGATTTAATAGCTTACTAAAAAACCAAACAAGGGGCAAACATTGATAGAAAAATAAATGCCAGATATTTTCTGATACTGCTTGATATGTCTCATGTATTTGACTCAAAAATTCCTAGTTATCAAAATCATATGGAATGAACTGTGCTCTCTTCAAATCCATATTTTAATGCCTTGGCCACTCAATGTGATTAAATTTGTATAAAAGGTCTTTAATGCAGTAATTAGTGTTAAGTGAAGTTATAAGTCCAAGAGGACTGATACCTCAATAAGAAGAGGAAGTGCCACCAGAGATAAGGTCAAGTGAGGCCACAAGGAGAAGGCGGCCATTTTCAACTGGGAGAGGCCTCAAGAGAACCAACTCTCCTGGCACCTGATATTGAACTTCCAGCCTTCAGAACTGTGAGAAAGTTATCTCGGTTAAGTCATACACAGGCTAAAACACAAAGTAATGGGGGGAAACAAAACACAGTAGATCTACCATTCACAATAACAGTAACAGAAGCTATCCTATTTTCAGTGAAAATTTTTCCATATGTCACTCAAAAGAAGATTAGTATAATGTACCAGCTTCATCAGCATAGGGAGCCTAATATGGATTTTTCTTATCAATTCTTCAATACTGATCAACAATGGAAAGAACGGTTCAGGAAGATAACTCTGCAAAATGTTAGACTAACTGGGCCAATGCCTCTCTGGTTATTTGGTGTGATGCAAAGGCAAAAATAATACATAGAGGCATTGGTGGATTTTATATCCACTTTACAATTTTGCATAACAATTACTGGGCATGAAATAGCTTTGTAAGAAATAGGGAAGAGGAATTTGGTCATCTTGAAAATGAGTGAAAGGTCGGGAATGTGGGATTGTTATGAAGTCTCCATCTGAGTCTTGAGAAGTCAGTAAGAAAAGGTTTCTTAGCTTTTGATAATATGATATGCACAAGATACCACATGGAAAATGATTAGTTTTCATATTAAGTTTCAAATGTGTATTTGATAACTGAAGCCAAAAGCATCTCTTACATAAACTCCCAGGAAGTACTAAGGTCAATGTAAACATGAATTGTGAAGAAAACCGCATTTATACTATAAAAATATTCAGCATTATGACACAGAGTGATTATTTTAAATATATTTTGAACTACAATCTCTCTACTATACAGTTCAACTTCAGCCTATGTCATTTAGCTTTCTCAGACACAGTCTTGGTTGTGTGAATTTTCTTTCACACCACTCATTTCTTCTTAAGATCAAAGATTAATCTTTCTTCCACAGTTATGCTGGAACACAACCAGATTTTTGTAGTTTATTTGGCATCATTTCAACAGTTACTTACAGAATTCCCTGATCATATATTCTTTCACAAAGTAAACAACCACCCTCAAAAATAATATTGTACTTTTAAATATTTCAAAGGTAATAATAAAACATGAAGCAAGACCTTTATTTTAATTGTTGCCCTAAAGATGTTACATGACATATATTCATTGCTTCAAAAACACTAATGGATGACAAAAATTAATTTTTAATCTTTCTACTCCATACTTCTGCATAAAATAATGTGTTTGGCTTGGGGCACACTGTCCTTATGTGGTACTGCTATTTACACTTGCCTACTTCATCTTTTTTTTCAATTGCTCCCTTCTTGGCCAGACTAACAGAATTGGCAACTTCTCCATAAAGAAGAGCGTCAAATGTGAAGCCTGCTAAGGAAACAATCTCAGACAAACATTCTTGAGGATTTCCCCTTCTCAGATGGTTGCTGTGATTTTTATTTCCCATTTATTCTCTTGAAACTTCACTGGATTCACATTCTCCATTTATGTTCGTTTTTTTCTACTAACATAACTAGAAGTTAATGTTTTGTTTTGTTTTGGGTCTCCTTTTTGCAAAGCCAGTATCAGTTTTTGTTCTAAGGAGTCCAGAATTTGTTCTTTTCATCCTCCACGTACTTATACATCCGCATTTCACAGTCCTTCTGCCTTAATGTTTCACCTCTCCTCTCTTCTCTTAAAACCTTTCTCTCCACTCTCTCCAGCTGCCACTGGTTCTTTCAGTGTCTTCAAACTCCTGTTCTCTCCATGGTAATATGTCTCCGATGCATTCTAAACATTTGGCTGAAGATGTATCTCATTAATAAAACTCTCCCAGAAAATTTTTCAGTTTTTTATAACAACGTGAATAAATTTATCCCAAATCCCCTATCAGACTCCCCTTACATATTTTCTCAAATCCCAGAACTAGATTACTTCTGATAACTTACAAAATATTATTACATCTCAGGCTTTTTTAGTAAAAAACCTGTCTAATCTATCAATTCCCATCTTCTTTCTGAATAGTATATATTTTTTTCTTTTTTGACAATTCTCTCAGAGTGGAATAAGGTCTTTTATTGATTAAACATAAATGTTTAGATATATTTCCATTTTTCTGTTACTAGTGTGAAAATTCTGGAATATGTTTGCTATAAAAAGAAACAATTGTTATACTATCCTCTAACACTTAACCCCACATGTGGTTAAAGAGTCTTTTCTAAACTAGCAAGGGAGTTTCATAGTTTGAAGCAGCTTTGTGACTCTACCACATAAAAACACATTATCCAAGGTAAAAAGAAAAGTTTATTTAAAAATAGATAGCTGTGAAAAAAAGTCATTACTAGAAAAAAAATATATAGAATTCCAAATACACTTTAAAACATGTGAAATAAACTGATCAGCTTTTCCCACCAGGCTGGATGATTAGCATTAGTGTTTGCCTGTGGAAGGCAATCATGCCACTCACACCTTCTGTGAAATAGCAGTGAGCCTCGTTGCTTACACCGCCACTGTGTCTAGCATGAGAAATGGCTTAAACAGGAAAATGTCGATTGTTTACACATATACAGAACCAGAAGGCACCAAACACATCTTTCTGGGATTTTTCACAAGTCAAACTCTTTGCATTTTTGAATTTCAAAGCTTCCAAGAATGCAGACAAGCCACAGAAGGGTTTTGAGGCCAGATAACCACCCCTAGGAAGTTGTGATATTCATGGGAAAACTCCTACAATCTCAATATCTGCTCATGAGCCAAACCAGTCCCCCTGTGAAAAGCGGCTGAAAGGGTGGTATCTCCCTCACATGTCTTCTCAGGGTAGGAGGTGTCCCGAGCAACGAACAACGCTGCCAACTCAGGGATGGCCACGGCCTCAAAAAGCCATTCAACTTCCAGATTTTGGATTTAGCAAGTATCAGTCATTTCTTTCTTTAGCTCTCATGAAAAAATATAAAAACTAAAGGCATTTACTCTTTTATACTGAGGTGTTGAAGCACAGCTTAGGAGGCAAAGCAAAGGCTGAATGGAAAGAGGGACAAAGGCTTTACTGGACTGACTTAATTTAAAAAGATATAAGAGGACTCCTGTTTGCTGGAATATCTTCCTACTAACAGATCATAGCACAGTTTAAAAATGCATTCTAAAAATTATAAAAATAAAAAAGTAATGCATGAGTAAGCAGGAGTAAAAGTAACAAAATTCCATTCTAGCCAAAAACTACAAAACATTGAATTTACTGTTTTATGAGTTCTGGGACCTGTCTTTCTCTGGGGATTACATGGCATTTCTGATGGTCTAGATCCTGTGTTTTTTGTTTTGTTTTGTTTTGATTTTTGATTTTTTAATTCAAATGAATTTTTAACTGATATGCACAAATTTATACTGTTTATTTATGGGTAGCATGACATTTCAATGTATGTATACATTGTGTAATGTTTAAATCATGACCAAGATATCCGTCTCCCCAAACATTCACCATTTCTTTATTGGTGAAAACATTCAAAGTATTTTCTTCCAGCTTTTTAAAATATACAGTACATTATCACTATCTAGAGTCACCCTACTGTGCAGCAATGCACCAGAACCTCTGATCGTAACTTAGCGCCTCACTCTTACTCTCTCAGCCTCTGATAAGTACCCATTCCACTCTCAACTTCCAGGAGACCAACTTTTATAGATTACACATGAGTGAGAATGAAGCCAGGAGACAGAAATCTAGGCAGATAGGGCACAGAACCTGAATAATTAACTAAAGTAAAGGAAAAGTCAGGGCCTAAGGAAATTAGCACAGCAAAACAGACCATCAGGGCCTAATAAAATACAAGAGACAAAAGAACAGGGCCTTAGCCAAATGAGAGACCTTGGAGAAAGCAAAATACAAATAAAACAGCTTGCTTTGAGGACATCAAAGGCCTACCTGCAACCTGGAGCAACCCTGTCTTCTGTCACATACAAGAGTCCCAAAAGCTGTATAAAAACCCAGTAGTCCTGAACATCTATGATATCCACCTTACACATCACCACTTTCCCACTAGCAGAGAGCTTCTCTTTTATTCCTGCTAATAAACACACATTTGGCCATTCCACACTGCTTGCTGTTTGCTGTTTTGACCCAAGAGCTAGATCCAGTCACATGATCATGTGAAATTTGTCTTTCTGTTCCTGGGACCTCCAGTCCCAGCCATATCGCACAGGATTTCATTCTTCTTTATAACTGAATAATAATATTCTGTTGTGCACAGATACTGTACAATGAAATGGACACTCAGTTGATTCTCTACCTTAGCTATTGTGAATAGTGCTATAATAAACAGTGCAGATGTCTCTTTAACCTACTGATGTCATGTCTTTTGGATATATATCCAGTAGGGGAATTGCTAGATCATATG